ATATATATATATATATATATATATATATATATATATATGAAACAATAATGTTTATTTCTGAGAAATAATAAGCTGATATATAAGAAGACTGAGAATAGCCACCCTTCCACTATTCAAGGTTGTGGTAGACATGGCTCATGCCAGAATTTTCCACTACCTAAAGCTCAAGGATCTTTAAAGGGTTTTAAAATCTGCCTTTACCTTTTCTTTTTCTTTTTTTTTTTTTAATCCCTTGGCTTTTTGAGTTAGAGTCTCATTACATAGACTTGGCTCTCCTGGAATGCACTATGAAGACCAGGCTTGCCTCGAATTTACAGAAATCCTCCTGCTTCATCCTTCCAAGTGCTGGCCATTAAAGGTGTGCACCACACCATAACTGACTTAGGTCCTATCTTCTGTGGTAAGTACTTGGGAATTAGTTATAGGCTCAGACTGATTGACAAATGCATCAAACAATTGTTAAAAGCAAAAGCCTTCCACCTCTGCATAAAGCACATGATGAGCCTGGGGGATTCTAGCATCAGCTAGAAGGCCAGCTGTCACCATGTCCTCAGAACGTCTGCTTCTAAGTTGCTTTTCAGAAATGGACTCAAGGGCCAATGGATGAGTTAATTAATTAATAGTATTAGTACTTAGTAGTATTAAGTACTACTTAATAGTACTTAGTAGTATTAAGTACTACTTAGTAGTATTAAGTACTACTAAGGCAGGCTAGAGTACTGAGTGAAGAGAAACGAATTCACATCTGCTTTGTGTTTTATACATGAGTATGTTACTGTTGTAAATTGATTAAAACAAAACAAAACAAAACAAAACAAAACAAAAACCACAAGTCTTGCATTTTTGTCTCCTAGAGTCGCTAAGCCACTTCTATACACTTTGAGCCAAGTATAGACTGCAATAGCAGATTTCAAGGTAGGTTTCCATAGCGACTAATTAGTATGTACAAAGTTCTTTAAACTAGCCAGGACACTTTTAAGATGATGAAATACAGAGCAGACATAGATCTATTATAAGTAACCTTTGTCTAAGTATAGACTGGTCACATTTTCAGGATCTCATATTTAAACCTTACTTTTATTTTAATTCTTCTCTTATAAATGAATGGCTCAGAACCTTGTTTCTCCACCATTCCAATATCAACTATCTCTTACCCAGCCCTATGAATTTTTCATTACTTTCTGGTTTTAACTATACTTACTCTCTAAAATGTTTTATTAGGGCTTCCAGAAGAGTGTCAGTGATGAATTGTACCCCATTTAACACACACACACACACACACACACACACACACACACACACACGCACACACACACACTCTCATGTTCAGCAGGTTTCCCCAGTTGTTGGTTCAAAGGTAACTAGCTACTTGTGCTATTTACCTAGTGTTTTGACCCAACGTTTTTACGAGTTAAATATCAAACTTAACATCTACCTACTATCTAACTGGCCAATTACAAATCCTTCCTTAAGGTGCCACATTACTGTTTGTCCCCTGATGGTCCTATACCACATTGTCCACGTCCCTTCTCTATCTGGGAACTCACATAATTAGACGATTCTCACTTCCCATCTAGTCCCTGCCCATACATTTTTCCTTCTTTCCTTCAACCAGTTCTGGCTTCACCTTGTTTTATAATGGCTCTTGGCAAAGACTCAGATGCTGTCACAATGCTGAATAAAGTAGTCAGTGAATCCTAATTGTCTCATGTGAAGTCTCCTCAAATTGCTAAATTAACAGCTTTGACAAGAACTTACATCATTTACGTAAAAACTGTAGAAGCCAACAGCTATGACAGCTTATGTTATTCTCCTTGCTTTGTCTACAACTGACATTCTCTGACAACCAAAATGGTACATGACACCTAGAAAGACAACTTTTTCCACTAAAAATGGCCGATTCATGGATGTTTAATTGGATTAATTTATTTCAGAAAAGTTTATTGACTTCTTTGACATTTCAGGCTATGTTCTAGAAGCTGGACATATATCAACAAGTAAAAAAAAATTAAATTACCCCACATATAGAGTTTATCCTCTGGTAGGGAATAAGACCAGGAGAGGAGTAGAAGAACAAGGTTGAGGGCAGGGGGCACAGCAAGTTGCAGTTTTAGAGGTGCATACCATAATTTCACTGGGGAGTTGGCATTTGATCAAGTTTTAAATGAGGTGAGGCAGTGAGCCACAGCTTTGGAAAAAGGAATTACAGTGTGGTGCCTTTCTTGTGTCACAGGCCAGGGTAGCCACTGCACGGAGGACTAGGAATGAGATAAGTGAGATTTGACATATAAAAGGAATCAGAATGCGTGGCCCAAGGTCCAATGTAAGGAGTGTTTTTTTCTCCTTAATGGAGTTAAGCAAAAATATGACCTACATTAGTACTTTAAATGCATTCAGTGGCTGCCGGGTAGAATTTTGGCTGAAAGAGTTAAAGGTAAAAGCCTGAATATTACTTAAGAGACAACTGCAAAGATCCAGCTAAGCAACACAAGCATCTGGGTCATTGAGATGTTGCGGTGCTAAAAGGGCCAAATTTTTAAACATATTTTGAAAGTCAAACAAAGTGTTTGCAGATGAATTGAATGTGGAACAGGCGAGTCAGAGATCTAAGTCAATGAATTTGGGACCAGAATAATAAGAAAGAAAAGTCACAGAGATACTCAAGGAAAGAATAGAGGAAGGGAAAATGCAGGTTTGGTTTAGCAATTAAAGTTGAGGCATTTGTTATGAAAATATCAAGACGATAAATATGGGATTATAGGGTTTGCCAGATGTCTGAGCTTGAAGAAGTAAATTTTATTCAGTGTTCTGAAGAGAAACTGTCTGGACCAGTGATGTTAGAGGAGATAGAAGGGACTATGTACAGACAAATAGCATAGGCACAAGAAAAGTCTAGGGTACTCCAGAGTTAAACTGTTGTGAGGAAGAAGAACCAGCTAAGAAGGCTTACGATGGTAAAGAAAAGAGGACAAGGAAGCAGCAAAGGAAACCAAGTAGGCAGCCAGCAAGGCAAGGGCAAAACCCAGCCAGTGTGGCATCCCAGGAACACCTAAAAAACACATTCCAAGGAACAGGATACGTCAAAGGCTGCTGACAAACCAAGACAAAGTCTGAGCCTAGACCCTGAACTCAGTCACACAGCAGTAATTCATAGCAAGAGTTTTAGAGACATAATAATGGCAAAAACCTGATTAGGGCACCAGGACTGAGAGATCATAGAGAACAGGAATAGCTGCAGGGAGGCAGAGTGAATTCACAAAGTGTATGGAATATAGAAAGGGGGACTATCTGAGAGGAAGTGGAGATAAGTGGATTCTTGCTTGTTTTGAGATGACTCATGTTTGTGTGTTGATGGGAAAATTTGGTAATGGAAAACGATCACACAACAGAGCAGCTGCAGAACCAGTTTTATGGAG